CACCAGGCACACAGAGCTTGTCTGTCAGCACTCGAGCCAAGTTGCCCCAGCAGCTGAGCATCGGATAACAGTTGTTTTTTCTAAACTAAAACCTTAGCGTTCAGGTTTAATTGCAGTGTTGGCATTTTGCAATAAATAAGCAGGTTTTGGGTTGCACTTTGGGTATTCACTCTCTAAAAGGCTTGTCATCATGGCCTTAGCCTCTGCTGGTTCTCCTCCCAGCAATGCCCCTTCCCCAACCTCTTTTCAACATCCCTCCAAAATGTTTTTTTGTTTTTTTGTTTTCTTTGTCTTTTTGAGACGGTCTCACTATGTAGTTCAGGTTGGCCTTGAGCTCACTTTGTAGCCCAGGCTTGGTCTCGAACTCACAATGATTGTTCCGCCTCAGCCTCCCAAGTGCTGGGATTACAGGCGTGCCACCATGCCTGGGCCTCCAAAATGTTAAAGTCCAACTCAAATGCGAACTCCTTTATGGCCTTCCCCTGACACAAAAGACAAGGACGCTCTTTCCTCTGACTCATCAACATTCTTGCCCCTATGGCTGGCACCCATATTATATAGCAGCAGAGATTAGGTTCTCAAGCTCTGGGATGGGACTCTTGAGAATACTGCCTAAGCACATTGACCTTCTGAAATAGACTAGTGGGATGCTCAGTTCTGCAGAAACTGGGTTTTGTGTGTTTGCAAAAGTGTGTGTATTTGTGGGGGGGACAGTGCACAGAGAGGTGTACTGAATGCTCCACAAAGGCAGTAGAGTCCAGCATGGTGGCACACACCTGTAATCCCAGCATCTGGGAGGCTGAGACAGGAGCATCACCACAAGTTCAAGGCCAGCCTGGGCTACACAAGGAGTTCAAGGCCAATGCCAAAACAAAGCGCGGTGCAGGGATATAGCTCAGAGGCACAGTGCCTACCTGGCATGCACAAGATCCTGAGTTGAAGTCCCAGCACAAAAAAAAAAAAAATCAACAGAGGACAGAATCTGAAACCTGACTGTGACTGCTTGGGTTCAGATACACCTTTACCTCTTACTAGCTATGCCATTTTGGGCAAATTACTTAACTTCCCTAGGTCTCAGTTACCTCCTTTGATTTTTTTTTTTCTTTTGTCTTTTTGAGACAAGGTCTCACTATGCAGTTCAGGCAGCCTTGAGCTCACTTTGTAGCCCAGGCTGGCCTCAAACTCACAACGATCCTCCTGCTTCAGCCTCCCGAGTGCTGGGATTACAGGAGTGCGTCACCACGTCCAGCTTCAGTTACCTCCTTTGAAAGGAGACAGTGGTCAGGTTGCCTACTGTGAGGACCAGATGAGTGATGGCAGGTAAAAGCACTGAGATCCATGCCTGGAACGCAGTGCAAACCAAGTGTTTACAGCTACTCCTCTTAGTAAAGATCAGAGAAGGGGATTCCCAGTGCCGGCACAGGGCTGACAGGACCTCACACAAATACAATCCCCAGATTGTAGCTACTTCCCAGGTCTGTTTCCCATGTGCTGTTGGAAGACAGGTAGGGCAGGTGAGTAGCCCCATTTTACAGCTGTGGAACTGAAACTCACCTAGGCAAAAGTACCAGTGAAGAAGTCACAGGGTCACCAGAACTATTCGGCTTCTATCATGCAGAATCTTCACACAGCAGCCAGCACCCCACCACCACCACCACACACCATGCTGGAAGACCCAAAAACGGCGCCCTTTTCACCTCTTGTATATTTGCCGCCCACAGACCAGCCACAGTACAGTGTTGTGTACATGTCCCTGCCACAGGGCTCAGGCCCCAAAGGTGAGGAACACCTGTTCTGAGGAATGTGCCTAGTGAGCAGATTCCATCTGAGGCCCTTCCACCTTCCACTGTCACCAGAGTGGGGCCGAGTGTGCGTCACAGATACCCGAAAAGGGGGGCAGGGGGAGAGAGAGGGCGAAGCGGGAGGAGGAGACTAAAAATTTCACGTTTCTTTTTTCCATTTTAGTGACAAAAGTCACACCCGGCCTTTACATAAACACACGTCCAAGGAGCCACTCTGTCTAAGCTCACTTCCCTCGCAGGCGCCAGTACTCTCCTCCCAGTGACCCTGACACTTGGGTGAGGGGCAGGCACACCAGACCCTGCAAAAGACGCGCTGTGCCACCCGACAGCACCCTGCCTGCTGCCCTTGCTCTGCCCCATGTTTAATCTCTCCACCTTCCCATAACATCCCCTCAGCAGTCCCACACCACCACTTACATACGCAGAAGGTAGGCACGCGTACACAGCTTGCAGCTCGTCTCTTGAGTCCGAGGCCCACATTGCCCTTGTCACGCTACGTCCCTCCCCACAAGTGTCTTCTGACCAGCTCCCTCCCAGCCCAACAACCCAGACAGGCTGCCACAAACAGCGTCACAAAAGAATCCCAGGGAGAATGTTGCAAACACACAGCCATCTCCTTGCTTGGCCGACCATGGTCCCATAAATACAGCTTGCACATCCCACCCAAAAGCCTGCAAAAACAGCGCCAGCTGACCCATAGGCAACAGAGACACACCCTGGTGATCGGTAGGATCTGAGTTCTAGACATGCAGCCCCCATACAACTCTCTTATCACAGACACACAAACCCACCCGTCCGCTTGTCCGTGCCACAGTTGGACCACACACCTCAACATTGCCACAGAAATGGGACCAAGACTTCAAACCTTCGAACTCAGAGGTCCACAACTGTCCCCTCCAACTGGACACACACTCTGCATTCTGGCGCCCTCCATAACACTATACCACACCAGCTATGCAGAAAACAGCTGCTCATAAACAGTTCATATGTATATTCCAAGACATACGTGCAAAAAACACATGTATACAAGCTCACACGGAACAAACTCCGCACTCAGTCAAATTGTGCCCTGCTTAGAATGGCCATAGCCATAAGGGCCACATCTTGTAATCCTGCCCACAACACTGGATATACCCTTCCTGTGTTTCTACGTCTAAGGCCCAGAAGGACCCTTACCCGGATCCCTGCCTGCCAGATGAGCAAATGGTGGTGCCCCAAGAGCTGTTTACCTTGCCCTCACAACACTGCAGAAGACACAATCTTCCAGACGCACAGCCACAACCCTGACCCCACTGCGCGGTTGTTCCGGTGCTCCTGCTCGCACTGCGCACCCCGCTCACCCCAACTCAGGGGAGCTCGGCAGCCCACCCCTCCCCCTCTCTGCCTGGCTCCTACGCCATCGCCCTCCTAGCAGCTTGCAGCGCTTGCCCGGGATCACACCCTCCCCACCCCACCCCCAACATGCCCCACGGAGGGAGGGGGACATCAGGCTGCAGAATTAACCCTTCCAACGGGGAGTGAGCGCAGCCCCTTCCACAGACCCAGGCGGTAGCGCCCCCCAGCCTCCGCTCGACCTCGACGAGGCGCCATACCAGGGCCCCCTTAGTCGTCCCCCAGCGCCGCGCGCGCTCGGGGGCGGGGCTAGGCCCAGCGCCGACCCCGGAGCCCCCAGGTCAATGCCAAAAAGGAGCGGTCGCTGCGCGGGGCGCGGCCCGGGCCCCCGC